GCACTGCACAGCTTCCAGTCGTTTATCGTTTTTTTTTTTTTTGTGTCCAATCACATTTAATCTTCGATATGTTACCAAGCAAATATTATTTGCTCAATGCCTAATGAAAGGCTGAAAGTACAAATAAATAAATATTTGTTCGCATTAAAAAGTAAAGAAAGGTAGACAGATAAATATTACGGTAGTTAAAAGCAACATTAAAAAGGTAGATCTTGAGTCGTGTTTTGGTTGGTTGAGCTTAAAATATGCATGAAAGATTGGTTTGTAGGACGATGTCGGACACGAATAAACGGGCATTTTCATGGTGAACTTTTCAAGAACGAGACTTTTTGAGGCACGGTTAACCAACTCTGTTGCTGGCTGTCGTGATTCAAGCTGGAAATTGATTATTGGGGGCCATTGGGAGCTTACACAGACAGGCGTAGCAAGCGAAGGAGGTCTCCTGCATCTGCATCTCTGGTGAGGATGCCATGTCTTTTATTTTGATAAATATTGATTGTGTGGTCCAAACTTCACCGTTGGCTACTGAGTATCTTACTGTATACTTCCACCAAGCAGTTGCATTCAATTCACATGTGCAGTTTGCTCTACCCTGATTTGGTTGGCTTTCCCAAAGCCGGTGTCTATCGCGGCTAGCAAGCTTTGTAAATACTGTGACATCTGGCGTGTAACCTGCCAGTCAATTCAACAAAGAAGATACAAAATACACAAACAACTTTTAATCCGAGCACGTCCGAACTCTCTCTGTTTACCTTGCAGCCTTCCCAAAACACATAGTAGAAGGAACTGAGACACAATCCGTGAGAACTAGGAAACAAAATAAAATCCTGTATATGAAATGCTGAAATCCTATCATAATGCCATGGCTCACACATTCATCAGCTTCACTATCTGTTCATGTGAAAAAGGTCCTTCAAGATTTTTGCGTGATTCCATGGTACTGTTGATTGATATTATACTCAAAGTTTCTTCTTTGACCTCCAGAGCAGTTAATGCATTGATTGTTCCATCTGAGTCCAGGACTACCAAGTGACAGTGAAACAACATCCAGAATCAATCGAGTACTCGACTGTGATGGTAAGGACATATCTCACCAGGAGAGCAATGATAGCCTTGAGCCCGGCTGTCCTCGACAACTGAACAGTCTACTGTACTTCCAAGGACAATGTTCAATTTTGTGGCGTTAGATCACTGAGGACTGAAGGAAAAAACAGATTTGGATTCTATAAAATGAGGTATCAATGCACACATCATTATTCTAAGTGAATTGCATGGTCATAATAATCCAAAATGGGGACAGTGTGTGCACGTGTTGTCGGTTGTTTTTGAGCGATCACCTGCTGCAGCAGCAGTAGAGGTCATCCTGGACTCCTCCCCTGCAGTGTGCTGTCATAAGTTGGACCTGCGCCCTCTTCTCGCTCCCCTCCTCCTCCTCCTCCTCCTCCTGCTCGCCTCCAAATGTCCTCCTGTGTTGACCAGGGCGGAGATGAACTGCACAAGTATAATCAAGATTATTTGTTACATCTACTATACTCAAATTACAGGGAAATGTACCCTCACACGGTATCGACAGGTTAGCACGTCTGCCTCACAGTGCAGAGGTGCAGGGTTCGATTCCGGCTCCGGCCTTCCCGTGTGGAGTTTGCATGTTCTCCCTGTGCCTGCATGGGTTTTCTCCGGGTACTCCGGTTTCCTCCCACATTCCAAAAACATGCATACATAGCAGGCTGATTGAACACTCTCAATCAAGGGTGTTCAAAGTCGGTCCTCAAGGGCCGCTATCCTGCCTGTTTTCCAGCTCTCCCAGGAGCGACGCACCTGGTTCAAACCATCAGGATGGTTGGAATGCTCCTTCAGAGCTGGCTGATGAGCTGATCATCTGAATCAGGTGTGTTGCTGCCGGGAGGGATGGAAAACAGGCAGGACGGCGGCTCTCAAGGCCCGGAGCTGGAAATGCCTGTTCTAAACTGTCCCTTGGTGTGATTGTGAGTGAGGATGGCTGTTTGTCTACATGTGCCCTGTGATTGGCTGGCAACCGTTGAGGGTGTCCTTACTGCCCAAAGACAGCTGGGATAGGCTCCAACACACCCACGACCCTCATGAGGATAAGCAAATTAGAAAATGGATGAATTGATGGATGGATGGATGGATGGACCCTCATATGCCCATTGACAGCAACCTTAATTACTTGTGCAACATACGGACATAGAGTATTTAGTCAAGACAAAACTGGGTGGTCCCCAAATAGTTTGAGCAAAAATCATCCGCCAGTCTATCAGAGGGTATATGCAGTATAGCCAAACAACCATTCACACTCACATTCAGAATTTAGATGCTAATGAAGCAATGCTAATGGTAAGGCTACGCTAATGAATCCATCCATCTATCCGTTTTCTTATATCCTGAACAGGGTTGCGGGGGGTTGCTGGCTATCTTAGCTGACTTTGGGTGGAAGGCAGACCACACCCTGAACTGGTCGCCAGTCAGTCGCAGGGCATATGTAGAGACTAACAAACATTCACACCCACGTCCACACCGTCGCTGAATGGGAACCGATCCCACACTGCGCGCACACAAGTCAGACGAGTGTTCCACTACACCATCAGCGACGCACGCTAATGAATTTAGGAGACAAATCTGCTGTCTGCTAAATGCCCTTCCAAAGTTATCGTCACCAGCTATGTTCCAGCCTTACCTAAAAGTGCACGAGTAAATGCATTGCAGACAACCAGCGCAACGGGCAGAGCCTGTGGCTTGAGGTTGCCCTCATTGTAAATTGCCACAAATATCCAAAGTTGCAATGCCTTTCACTGCAGCACTCATGTCGAGTGTACCGTAGATCATCTCAATGATCTTTGTGGAAGGACGATGAATTGGACATTGGCATGCAGGTGCCATTGGCCCTCCATTTAAAGATGAGCTTTTCTTCATTTACATTCACGGATGGCGGTTTAAGAGTTTCTCGCCATCAATCAGTCCTCTCAAGTCAAGTGTCATCTGCTCTCCACAGACATCTTCAGTCGCAAAACTGATTACTTGGCTCAATGAGCTAATGTTACATCATCATTGGTGCGACGTAAGTCATCATCCTATATCAGGACGGTGACACTTTGATTGGAGTGGGATTGTGTAGGATTGTGCACAATGGCAGAGCAAGGACATGAGGCTCGGACATGAGGTGTTCCTCCCAAGAGAATCGCAGAGTATCCTTATCGTTTAGGTGCAATACAATTAAAGTGTGATACAGTATGAATGGATTGTGTCAATCACACATCATGTATGCCTATATACTGTATGTTTCCATACATATGCTGCTGTCTGTAGCCAGGTCGGCATTGCAAAAGCGAATCTCTTCTCAGGTGCCTTTCCCGGATAAATAAAGGTAGACAACATGTGCAATGCAATATAATACATTGTATACGGATAAACTTCCAAGCAGAGTGAAACCATCGTTTTAAACGCCAGGTGACAAGCTCAAGGCCCGGGGGCCAGATCCACGTCATTTTATTTGGCCAAAAGCAAATCAAGCATTTCAACTTCCACGATGCTTGCTAAAATGTGCACCAAATTTCAAATTGTCATATGTAATAAATAATATCATTGAGATATTTTCTTTTTACATTATTACAGCCACTTGAACAATAGGTGAACAAACTATTACTCTTGACTCCTGATTATAAAACCAGTTATCCATCAATACTATATGTGCAATAATATTAGAAGTGATTAAACATTTATGTTTTCACAGTCATAACGGTTATTAGAATTGAGTTTTTGGAAAAAATACAAATAAACTAGGACTATATGCAACTTTTATTCAAACATTCTCATCAGCGGTCTAAAATAGAATGAAACAAGTCTACCAAAAAAAAAAACATTTTAAAAATGAAGAAAACATTTTTAAATTAAACCACAGATCTAACACTCGGTTGATAAATGTATGCAATATTTTGAAAATTGTATAGGTTGGAATTGTTAATCCAAAAATGTTACCTTTAATGTGATTCAGTGCCAGATACCGTTGGAGTGCAGCATCCGGAGGCTATACTCTACCCTGCACAATGTAATTTGCTGAGTTGCTAACAATGTTCTGATCATTTACAGTCTACAAACCTCCTCGCTGTGTCACTGCCCACTAATTACTGGCCAGACCTATTGGGCACATGCAGTCGTACACACACACACACACACACACACACACACACACACACACACACACACACACACACACACACACACACACACACGCACACACACACACACACACACACACACACAATTGCTGGAATTCATGTGCGTGCACAGCGATTAAATCTTTCCTCTCCTGCTTGGAAATGGGGCAGGTGGACACCTGATTACACTACCAGTTGAAGTGCTATTGAATGAGAAAGTGTGTCCCAACGTTAGACTGGTCGTAAGCTTTACTTGGTCAATTAATTGTCCAAAGTTAGTGAAAATCAGACAGAATGCAAAAGTTTATTCATTATATAATTTTTTTAAAGGGTCGATTAATCAAGGAGCGGAATTTTATTATGCCAAATACTGTACCAGAATCGGCATCGCCTGAAAAAATCCATACCGCTCGCGGCCAGAGGTTATCCGGAAAATTGTTTGGATAAATTTGGGATTAATTTTGCAGTCAGTGATTGAAATCCATATTAGCTCCTGAAGTAGCACGTATTTTTGCTTGCCGTGGTTCAAATAATTGCGTGTTCACTAAAACACAAAAACATTCCATTATTGTGTGGTAATATATTTAGGCAGACGCTGTTTTACAGTGATTTAGATGAGACAATGCAGGTAATGCAAGGTTCACAAACCTGAACGCAATGGTTTGCAGTATTTTTCATCAGTATAAACCACCATAACCAAACATACATGCAGTACATAAATACACACAATGAAATTCAACTGTGGAATGTTTTTTTTGGCCCTGGGTTGTTTCCACTTTGCTTTTAGTGACACTTCCCCTTTAACTTGCAGCACTTGAGTGTCGGGAAAGTGGGGAGAGCAGCAGTGTGGGGCGAGGCGCGCCAGGCAGAAGCTCTTAGTATGCGCCGCGACGCCCAACTGCAGCCCACGCATCTCCACGGTGGTGGATGTAAGTAACAGATGAGAGACGCGGGTAGAGCAGGCAACTCCAGACGGCCGTGACGAGATGGCACAACCGCTGGACGGAAGGAAAGAATGAGAGATGACTGCTCTGCATCGTCCCTTTAAGAGGAGCCAAACTGGATACTATCTCGTGCATCTGCGCGTCAAGAGAATCACGGTGAATTCCTGCATGCAATTAGCTGAGACGATAACAAATAAAGCCCCGCTCTGCTTTGATAAGTGCATGGACATGACTGCGGCTGGATCAACAGAAAAGGGCTGCAAAAGGCTTAAGCACGTTTGGCACCTGTCACTTCCAACTAACTCTCCCGAGCCTGTGTGCCACAGTGCCAATAATCATCATCAATAACAGCCACACTTGCTTTAATGTTGAAGTTACCGAGTGCATGAACTTGGCTGCCTTGTCTTTCCTGTAAATGCCGCCCAGCCTAGGTGGTTAATCTCAGAAATAAGTAGAAAATATTTTAGCCTCAGTGATATGCACCATATGTGTAGTCATATGGACAGCCTCCATATGGGGGAAAAAAAAAAACACTGTCCGGAAGCTGATTATCAACGACATTCAATCATGCTAAAACAAGAATCTTTCAGTGGATGATACTGTATATGGATTTGCTTCGGCGGATGCTTTTGATTGCAATCAGAAGTATACATAATGACATCAGCATCCCCCGCAGCCTCCCTTACTCAGCTGCTGACATGAGCCTTGAAGAGTTGTCCTGCTGCATCCTTCGTCATGCTGAAGAATAAACTTTACAGTGTGACTTGACTCCTGCCTGAATTTTAATGTCACCAGCAGTGCTCCAACCTGTAGCAGATAGCTGCGTCTCGGCACGTATCCGTGATGTGAGGTGAGGGCGGTAACTCCCTGCGTCCTCATCCCCTGTCCCCTCTCCTGTTCACACTGCCTTGCGGCAGAGTGCAGGCTTTGGGTGATGTATGGCTGGAAGAAAAGGGAAGCAACCTGCTGGACGGCGAGGGGTGACTTTGGACACTTCTGCTGGTCCTGTTGTGCATCAGCACTGTACAGAGCAACAACTGTAAGGCATTCTTCCAAAGACACATTAAACAGGTATTGGACTTTTTTACACTAAAAAAATGCACGTTTTGAGCACAGCTTAAGTCTTAAAAGTATGTTAAAAATAAAAATCTTTTAAAGGCGCTTAAGCAGAGAGGGGAAAATAATCTCAGAGATCGTATGGAGCACTCATCATATCATCAGATATATTGGTTGTAATTGCACCGTGCGAGAGCTGATATAATATTACTGGATGGCATATTGATCCAACAGCACGCTCGTATGAGAGGAACTCATAACGCAATTCTTAGAGACAAAGTGGAGCCGATGTGCTCAAATGGTCAGGCCCCTCCTTGCTTCAGTCTTTCAAATGCCCCGCAGACTTGCTTGCCAGCAGGAATGTTAGACTAATGCAGTCTTTCTGGGTGTTACTGTCAACATTAGTCTGTGACTCACAAACCAAATTCAAATTGAAATTACAGTTGTCCTTTCTCTACCCTCTAGTTTGTTATAGGCATACCTGCTGTGGCCAAACGTGGCCCCGCCCCATTTGAAAGCTGCAGGTTCCATCGCCCTCCAGCATGACGGTTGCGACCAGCGACCCCGCTGACGAAGCGGCTGCACATCCCGGTCAGCCTCATGACCAATACGACCCGGAGCCAGATCATGAGTGCTGCGAGAGGGTCGTCATCAACATCTCGGGTTTACGCTTTGAGACGCAGCTCAAGACCCTGTCCCAGTTTCCGGAGACCCTTCTCGGGGATCCGAAGAAACGGATGAGGTACTTTGATCCTCTTCGGAATGAGTACTTTTTTGACCGCAATCGGCCGAGTTTTGATGCCATTCTTTACTATTACCAATCTGGAGGGAGGCTGCGTCGGCCTGTCAATGTCACTCTCGATATTTTTTCTGAAGAGATTCGCTTCTATGAACTGGGTGAGGAAGCGATGGAAATTTTCAGGGAAGATGAAGGTTTCATCAAGGAAGAGGAGCGACCGTTGCCAGAGAATGAGTTTCAGAGACAGGTGTGGCTGCTCTTTGAGTACCCCGAGAGCTCAGGTCCAGCTCGAATCATTGCCATCATCTCGGTCATGGTGATTCTCATCTCCATTGTAAGCTTCTGTCTAGAAACACTGCCAGTTTTCCGAAATGAAGATGAGGAGTACAATTATCCCTTCCAAACCAATGACAACAGCACCACCATCTATGAGACCTCATCCTATTTTACTGATCCTTTCTTCATTGTGGAGACCCTTTGCATCATCTGGTTCTCATTTGAGTTCCTTGTCAGGTTCTTTGCTTGTCCCAGCAAAGCTGGATTTTTTGGCAACATCATGAACATCATCGATATTGTGGCAATTATTCCTTACTTCATCACCCTTGGCACAGAGCTAGCAGAGAGGCCCGAGGATAGAGAGGCAGGACAGCAGGCTATGTCTTTGGCTATTCTCCGTGTTATTCGCTTGGTCAGAGTGTTTCGCATTTTCAAACTCTCCCGCCACTCAAAGGGGCTCCAGATTTTGGGGCAGACTCTGAAGGCCAGTATGCGTGAGCTGGGACTACTCATCTTCTTTCTCTTCATTGGCGTCATCCTCTTCTCCAGTGCCGTTTACTTTGCTGAAGCGGATGAACCCCAATCACAGTTCAGCAGTATCCCAGAGGCCTTTTGGTGGGCGGTGGTATCCATGACGACCGTGGGCTACGGAGACATGGTCCCGACAACCATCGGAGGAAAGATCGTAGGGTCTCTTTGCGCTATCGCCGGCGTTTTGACCATCGCACTGCCAGTGCCAGTGATTGTGTCAAACTTCAACTACTTCTACCACAGAGAGACGGAGGGTGAAGAACAGGCTCAGTATCTAAATATCCCGAGTGTGCCTAAAGCCAGCTCAGTTGATGACCTGAAAAAGAGCGGTCGGAGTGGCAGTGGATCAACACTGAGTAAGTCGGACTATGTGGAGATTCAGGAGGCTGTCAACCACAGCGCTGAGGACTTTAGACCAGAGGGCATGAAAACAGGAAACTGCACTCTGGCCAACACCAACTATGTAAACATCACCAAGATGCGCACGGATGTATAATGTGAGCCAATATTGATGAGTGACTTAATGTGGAGTCTGCAGCGACTAGAAAGGGAAGGAAGAATTATGGCCACAGATGACCAACGTTTGGGAATCCAGAGCAGACAATTTGCCGTAAAGGTCAACATGCAAACACCTCATGCTCGCCTACATTCAAGGGACCTGGAGCACATCATAGAACTGCAACCAGTCTTATTGGGACAACAGTGGCTTCTGCATAGAGATAGTCTTACATTCCTCAAAGTAGTTGTCCAGCAGGCAAAAGTAGCCAAATAGTAGCTGAAACAACCATTATCAACTATCTCATGGGACCACATGTTTGAAGAAGACAACGCACAATAAGATCAACATAATGTTTAGCTCAAAATGTAAATGAGAGATTACTTGAGATTAAATCAGGATTTACTGTGAGTGAAATTGGTTGTTCCAACTTCCCAGAGCCCAGCCATATTGTCAAGGGAGACCTGAAGGGAGTGACAGAGAAAGACAGTGATGCTGATATCCGATTAACTTGGTGGTTATAAAAATGCTCTCTCTGCAGAGGTGTAGGGTCAGGAAGTGCACTAGTATTCATTCTTGGTCCATCGCTAGATATAGTCCAGACCAGTGGTCTCTGTAGAGACCAACACAATGGACCACAGGGAAGTGCTGTATCTGTCAACCACAAAAAGGCATTACTTTTTCCCCTTGTTCTCAATGATGCGCAGTCGGTATGCACTACCGAGCCTGGTTTGTTTTTTCGTCAATGAAAACATCTATTAAAAGAGTGGTTGTCTCATACATTAATCACATTTCCTCAGATGACACTTTCATGTTCGCCTGATTGTATGATGCGGACAATAAGGGATACAAAAGTATCGAAACCACATTCTACATTAGTGCCTATTTACTATTTAGGTTTGTTTTTTTGGGGGTTCAGAGTTCTACCTTTATGTGTCTTTTAACTGCCACCCAGATCTATCGAAATAGGAATACTGCATAGTTTGATATCACTGCCCAACAAAAACAAAGCTGTCCTGAACTTCATAGCATTCCATCTTTGTAGAAATGGACACAATGTTAATTAACAACAGAAATGTGGTGATATTTTCGCTTTTTTAAAATGTATTTATTTATTAACGCTTGTGACAGCAGAGGTAACTGCTTGAATGTATCTGCAGCTAATGAAGGCGCTTAGTGTATTTACCCTACAGTCCCAAGAAAGCATGAATAACAAATGATTAACAATAGAACAAAAATTAGCAAGCTTTGTCGTCGTACGCTTTCGCATTCAACACAAGAACGTATATACATTATACACCGTAAGAAAACATATTTCCATCGACTGTACATATCCAGTATAAAGCTCTGGAAAAAAATGACGATTCAATGATCAATTTCTTTGGTTTGGCTATTTATAGGTTCTGGTATGTGTTTGAATGAAATGAACATTTCTACTTTATTTTTAAAAAATGAAGGAGGGCATAACTCGCAAATTCAATTTGGATATTGTCATCTTTTTTCCGGAGCATTTTTACTGGTCAAAATATTTTTTTAAAAGTCCAGTGTGTCTTATCGGTCACTTAATTTCTTCTAGAGCTTATGTATACTGTACTGTATATATATATGGAGCAACAGGAAACCAAAGACAAACATGTGCCACGGGATTGGCATAATGGTTTGTAAAATAGATGTACGATCAGCATTATTTTTGTTGTTTTAAAATTTTTACATTAATGGAGTGTCTGCATTTCAGTCATCCTATTCATGTAAACATTGGGAAAAAGGAAAGAAAAAAATGGCCATTTGTGATTTTCACAGGACAGCGATGATTTTATGAAGTATGTTTATGTTTGTACCCATGCACTTTGAACAATCATTCCAATGGTGCCCATGAGCTATTGCAGACCGAGCTTACATTTGTCATCAGCATTTATCGAACCTATGCTATCCTGCTATTGTCGTGCTGCATGTCTTTGGAAGTACTGTAATCCTAGTCGCATGCATCTATATGAATAATACTAGCAAATGGACTCAAATATACGCCAATGTATTTATAGGCACTGGAATAATATGCACACTGTGGAAGACACGGGTGTTTGATTTCAGAGTGGAATGCATCCTTGCATTTGGTGTATGTTACAACAATGATATGATCTGGCGCAATGAGGAATGTGGAAGTGCTCCTTTTTTGCCAATTCAGGAAGACAAAGGTCCACTAGAAAATGCCAGAAAACAGAAATGCTAATGTCATTGTTTTTCCTCAGTCAGGTGTGTCTCAATCAAAGTGAGTCTGTAGTCAACGAGGTAAAAATACTGTGCAGCTTGCATGCAGCCGTGCAAAACACCTGATTCCCTTTCCCACTCTGAAAATTCGAATTTATCGCAGCACATTGTTGACGGCTTGAATGTCAAATCACATGCATACGGAGCACAATCAAGTGAGGGGATACAACTGCTTGCTCACTGGGGATCAGGTGAAGGCTTTTTAAGCAGCATTATCAGCCACATCCAGGAATTAATGTGAGGTTTAAATGAAAAGTTGGAGATTCACTGCCCACACAAAGTTTTCTCCCCGACGGACATGGTTGTGGCGCTGTGCACCCGTGTGTCTGTACAGTGTATTCTGCAATGTCTGTCTGGACTGCAAATTTTGTCAAAACCCAGTTGTGCGATTTCAACACCACAGCACATGTCGATACAGGAAAATCACTGCTATACTTCACGTTAGCGATCCAGAAAGTAGACAAAACACCTGTATGGACCATTCAGACTGTACAGTGTACTGTATGTAATCTGCACACGCTCCAAGAGTAATGTTTGCTTTTATTTTCACATCTGCCGTCAACAGTCGAGACTGACACTAAAGTTGAATGTCAATCAAACAGTTAACACTCATGTAACCAATTGCTGTTTTCAATATTATCCTTCAGATTTACATTGATTTCTGACATGTAAACATGCTTGAAAAGCAGGGAATATACAGTAAGTGTGTGCTTTCACAACTTATACAAGGCATAGAACATGTGGCTGAAGTGTATTTTGTACTTTTGGGATGCTCTGTTCAAAAAAAATTAAAAAATCATTAGGGAAGTATAACTTCAATGAGAAGATATTAACGAGGTACTGCACTGTTTTGCAGTTTGTTATTGTTAGCTTCCGTCTGTGTGCGTGCGCGCGTGCGTGTGTACTGGCTTTTCATTAACTACAAATTCGCATTCGCCATGCCCTTCAGAAGGACTTCCAATGAATAACTTCAAACGTAGTATCAAATGTCTAACGAATATGAAGTCATTCAGAATGAAATGGACACTTTCAATGTAATATGAATTATATTGGTCGTGATGATAAAACAATCAGAATAACCTGGAGCTATTGTGTCTTTTTCTCTGATGGGAAATTTACACCCGGCCGTGTGGCCGAATTGACGTGTTGAAGCGAAATTGATCCAATTGTCCTTTTGTTTGATTGTGGAACACCTAAGATTTAAATAGCAGAAAGCGTATCGCTTTGTCTACTCATTTGCCTGTATGAACATAGCCATCCATATGGCAAAATGTTCCAGTCCAGTATTGATGAAAACCTGACTGCCCATTAGAGGAGGACCATTTTAGTCAACTGAAGCTCCTTCACCTTGGCTTCGTCATGCACTTTTCTCAAATGAGTCTTTATGCTGCTTGTCTGTGATTTACAGCGAAAGCAAAGTGCTCTATTTTTAAACTGCGGTATAGTGAAAGTGAGGAGGAAAGTTTGGCACAGAGGAGAGAAAAACGCTCGTCTCCTGCTTCCACGGAATGTGGGACGAGTACAAACAACCTGAGAACCTGTGCTCTCTGGTGGTCTGCTTCCAGTCGCGGCAGAAAATATGTTTCTTGTTGTCAGGGCTCCTGTCTTTTCTGCTTGGCCATGCTAAGTTCATCCGCTCTGTCCGTCCTTCTCACATTTCACTAAGCACACATTTTCCTCTCATGTTTCTCTCTTTGTAGCAGCTTCCTAAAGACAAGAGTAGACACAGGCCTACTGGCACATTATCCGGAGTGATGCACCCTCTGTCCATCACACCTGGCTGGCTTCCAGTAAGTCAGCTAAGGATAGCACTCAGGCCAGTAAGTGGAAGTTTACTAAATCTGTGTTCAAACGTCCTTGAACAAGACATTGGACCCTAACCGGCCTCACCAACATTCACTAAGAATGATTGGAATGATGGCAAATGTGTCAGCAGTGATGGCTGGACAATCGAGGGTGCTGTAGGATGTTGCCCCTCCACTCAACATTTTACTTTGAATGAGGTTAAATAAAAATGAAATCATTAAAAAAAATAAAAAATAAAAATATATATGAATCGTGTGTCTTAAATGAATTAATTTGCTTGGTTCATCAATGTTTTCTTATTTGTGATGTGTTCTCACCATGAGGCGCAAAAATCTTTACCCGTATATATTTTTTAAATGGTGTGTTGAATTTACTTATACAAAATTAGATCATTTGGATCCAGATACATCTTTCAAGTAGATGTTTAGTCTCCTATCTGGAAGTAAACCACCATCCAACCGATAATCTGTCTATTCCCCTGCAGTGTCCCGGACCCTTTTAATGGACACAAAACAAGTGTGCCCGTGCTTGTGTTATGCACGAAGCAATCCCCAGTTGAATGCTTCACATGTTGGCAACATTAGATCAGCGCTGTAAATGCTGATTTATAACCTCGTACACGGGCCTTTTAATGACCTGTCAACATTAACTTTCTTTATAACAGAACTTAATCCACGGGGGGAAACCTGGACCATTTATGAGCGTCTACATTGAGGAGAGCCATGAAGAGGGGAGCGTTTGTCATCATTCCTGTTGCAACAGTGGAAGCCCCCTTGCAGTTGCGTTCTATTTATAGCACATACTGCTAATACCCTCTCTGTTGACAGGGAATGCCTCCTCCTTGCTGGGAATAGATTCAACACTTTGTGCTTTCCTGTGTTCAATTTCAATCAACTGACACGGACGTCATTCTAATTAATTTTAGTTAATTTGGAGAATGTATGACAAAAGACTCCACTGATAAAAGAGCCTGGGAATAAAAAAGACGCAGTGGTGGACTTTCAGTGTCGGTGGACCAATGAGACAAGAAAAACGCAGCAAGAGAGTTCAACCTGACAGTTCGTGTAATGAGCCCAATTGATTAGTGAGCTTGACCTACATTCTTCCGACTGCTTCCCATCATCCAGGTTTACTTACAGGTCAACACAGGAGTGCATTTGAGTTTACACTGGGCTGGTGTGTTTTTTCTTTGGCATACATTTCGGGCCCTAATTTCATGCCCAGCAAGTTTAGTGCAAAGTGTCGTCTAACTAGGCGGGTGGAGTTGACTTTCTTTT